TGCTGGGCCTCGTCTACTCCTTCCTGGGGCCCAACCCTTTCGTGGCCCGGATGCACTTCCTGCTCTTCTTCCTGGGCCGCATGGTGCACACCGTGGCCTACCTGGGAAAGCTTCCAGCGCCCACCCGCTCCCTGGCCTACACTGTGGCCCAGCTCCCCTGTGTCTCCATGGCTCTGCAGATCGTCTGGGAAGCGGCCCACCACCTGTGACCAGCAGCCGATTCTTCCTCCGCTGCCAGAACACTGGCCACGAGCCACCACGAGCCGTGGAGGACTGGGCATCCCTTCCAGATTGGGATAGGCCCCGGGGCCTGGTCTCCTGGCAACCTGCTAAGCATGGATCCTGGCCCAGCCCACCCGAGTGTGTGTGCATACATGTGCACACACGTGTGTGTGCGTGACCCTTGGACTCCTGGGTGAAGTGGCCCGTTGGAACCGTTTAGAGATAGGTCGTCAAGATTGAGAGACAACCCCTCCACTCAGCAGCACCGAAAACATCACTCCCTCTTCCTACGAACCGGAAGAGGGAGGGGAGACTAAGTTCAAGTTCATAAACCTAATGACATCCGGATCCAGAGCTATAATAAATACAGACTTCTCAGACCCACCCCAGAGGTTCTGGTCTGGCCAGTCTAGAGGGGGGCCGGGGCACCAGCATTTTTAAAAGGCTCCCCTGTGAGTCCCAGCCACGGCCAGGCCTGGGAGCCACTGCCCGTTCTCTTTAGAGGACGAGGACCAGGCGGGGTGGGATTTTGCGATTTCTCTTACAGTGGGAGTTTAACGAGGTGTCAGTGGGCTACACTCCTTTGTGCCCTGTCGACACCTCCCTGTGTCCCCCACATCCCTCCGCTGGGTTCTCCTCTCCTGGGCACAGGTGCCGATGGAAGAGGCCCACAGTGGGGTCGATCTTATCTTCCTGAGGCTTCAGCCGCTGCCAGGAGCTGTTAGTCAACAATGAGGAGCTTCGAATGACCAAATCTCTGGCTCCTTCAGTTTCTGCAAGGTTTGCGTCCCTGTGGGGGAATCGTGTGTCTCTCCTAGACTCTCGTCCTAGGACACGTGTGGCTTTAATTATTAAGTGGCGTGTCTGACCAGCATGGCCCATGGCCTGGAAGACTCCTGGCCGCTCACTGCTGGAGTCTACCACTGCCTGAGCCGCCCCAGGCTCCAGCTTGCTGGACACTTTTGTGCATGAATATATGGTGCTAAAGTGACAGCACACGGTCTCTGGCAAACACACATGCGCCCTACCCGGGACGTTGTCACGCAGCCAGCAAGCAGCCTGCTCTGAGACACCCACCTGCCTCCTGCAGGTAAGGTGGCCTCTCTGCTCCAGTTTTACAGGTGAGGGCACTGAGGTTCCAGGAGGCCGACCCCGCGGCCCTCCACACACACCCGTCAGGGTCCACGCTCCTTTGCTAACCACGGGTCCCTGCTCCTGCCTCACTTTCCCTAAACGCCCCCCAGCTCTATCCTTTTCCTCCGGATCTGGAAGCTTCCCCCAGCACCTGGGCCCGTCGCCCACCACCCTGCGGCCTCTGAACTTCTGCTCCCGCAGACTAAGGCAATGGGAGGCCTCATCTGGGGCTCGGGACCCCAGGCCTTGCTAGAAATCCAGCTTAGCCCGTGCGCGGTCGGTTGCGTCCGCGTGGGGGTGGACAGCACTGCCCCCTGGTGGTGGCGGGAGCCTCCCTGGCCCGCAGCCGCACACCTAGAAACAGGAAGGGCTGGACCCCGAATTGAGAGCCTCCTGTTGACTTAGCATTGGCCGGCTGGGGTGCTTAGGATTTCTTTTCACTTAAACCTTAAAAACGGTCCGAGGAGGGAGGGGATGTAGATGAGGGAAGTCGGGCTCGGAGAGGAGAGGCGACTTGCCCGACGTCCCTGATTTGGAAGGTGGTGAGGCTGGAGGAGAGGAACCAGCGGCTCTTTACATTTTAGTATCTCCCTGCTGGGCAGAGGGGCTGAGGGTAATGTGCCCAGCTCAGACCCGGGGCTGGAGGGCCTCTGACAACACCCGCCCTGTAAACCTGGGACCCGGATGCAGGGGGCGGAGCCACAGGGATGCTGAGCCCCTCTCGCCCCTTCATTCATTCACCAGTGCGGTACCTCCTGGGACGCTGTGCCAAGGGCCAGGGCAGCCACAGTTGGGAAGCAGCAGCGCGACAGACTGTGACAACTCCAAGTGCTCAGCGCCCTAATGAGGGGGTGCCGGGGCAGTGGGAGTACAGGGGGGACCCTCCGACCCCTGCTGGGGAGGGGCTTGCCGGGGGAGGCAGCAACTTGCCTGCGATGCAGGTAAATCAGATTGGTTTGGGGGGTGTCCAAGCTGAGGAAATTGAGGTACAAAGAGCAGAGCTCTGCCCCCCGGGGTCTTGCAGCCGAGAAGGGGAGGGGAGGGGAGGGGCGGGAAGGGGTGAGGAGGGAAGGTGGGGGTGGGAATGAGGCTAAAGGGGTCAGCAGCAGAGTTCATTCCAGACTTTAGGTCTCTGGGAGTTTGAGGCCTGGGCGTACACAAGCCTAAGGAGGAAGCCCAACAGGCGATGTACCCCTCCCACCTGGGCCCCCCAGTCTTCCAGGGGCTCCCTCCTCTAATGGATTTCTTGGCTGGAGGCTTCCAAGAGTTTCCCTCGTATGCGAGGGACTTGAAGAAACAGGCAAAAATCAAAAGACAAAAAGGCCTGGAGGTAGAGACAGACTTGGGGACCCCTTGGGGAAGCAGAGCCCATTTCCCACATAAAATCCAGGGGCTCCTGGTGTGTGTGTCCCTGGGAGGCCGCTGCCCTTGGGAATGGGTTTCCAGGCTGGCCTGGGCAATCACGGAGGAGGGAGCGTCTGTCGGAGCTGGTGGGAATCCAGGCAGGCTTCCCAGGAGAGGCATTATTTAAATTTGAACTTGAAAGGTAGATGGAATCTTCAAAATTTAATTACATGCTCTCACAAGCAATGGTCAATGTCAAAGGTTTAGAAACTACAGAAAAGCTCGGCGAAGAAAACCGACACCTCCCGTACGCTCACCGCTCAGGGGCTGGCCTGGGTCACGCTCCAGGGCTCAGGGACACTTGTTTGCGTACATCAGAGAGAGGCCAAGTCCTCATGAGGCCGGCCTTACTGCGCACTGTCTTCTTCACCTACTTCATTGCCGGTGTCTCCCTCTAGAATGTGTGCTCCTGGGGGACAGGGATCTGGGTCTGTGGTGTTCGCTGTTTGCGCCATGTTGTGCCCGTGTCCCCAGGTCTCAGAAGAGCTCCTGGCTCCCAGGGTATTTCTATTAGGTGAATGAATGAGGTGTGTACACGTGTGTGTGTATAGTATAGAGCTAGGGATTCAGGGTTGTTTTAATCCAGGATGGAAAATATTGATGGTTTCTCGGCACCGGGGAGACGTCAGTGTGTCACAGACGTGGGTGGCATCTGTGCTCAGGGGCTCAGTCTTGCAGCGACGCCTTGGACTAGCCTTTTGTCATCGGCTGAGACTTTCCTTAATAATGCATCCACACTTCCGCTCAGGGCTTTCGATGGTCAATATCATGAATTTTAACAGCTCTCTGGCATGTCCTCATCCCAGATGCCCTCATCATTTATTTAATCTGCCCTTATTGTTGAGTAATTAATTTTCCAGGCTCCATCAGCATAAGCAATGCTTTGTCAGGCATCTTTGTACATAAATCTCTGTGCACATTCTTTTAAGGTACGTTTCTAGAAGTAAAATCACTGGGCCAAAAGGCACGCCTGTCTTTAAGGCTCGTGGTATATATCATCCTCCGAAAAAGATGGTTCCAATTTGGATAGGATTTTTAAGAGTCTTGCCAATTTTTAGTACCCGAGTGGGGAAATTTACAAGAGTATATGTCAAGAATAGAGACCACCCACAATCCCAAGTTCCTGAAAAAAAATCACTGTTCACTGTTACGGTTTACGACTCCCCAGACTTTTTCATTATGCGTAGTAAATAATGTATTTATACTTTGCATATGAAATATATTGTATTTATATTATCCTATGTTATAGATATATATACATCTATAGCATCTATGCATTTTCAGAGGAGAGAGGGACTGTGAGGCAGATCATGTTTCTTCACCTCGGCTCATCTTGCCACGTGGCCACCAATGAGACAGAAGTCGCTTCTGGTATCTGCATCAGCCACGACGTTGTGTAGCTTCACTCCTTAATGTTCGAATTACGAAAAGAATAAGGTTTTTCTGTCCATTTTCCAAATACGACATTATAACATTGAATTATTCTTTTTCGAACAGACAGATCTCAGACATGCTGATGCATCTGCTAGAATTTAACTTTTTTTTTTTTTTTAAGTTGACACTGTATCGTAACCCTGGCTGCAATGGATTTGCACTGGCAGAGGGGGTTGGGTGGGGAGGATGTGGCTGGTGGGAGACAGTGGAAGGCGGGATGATGAGGGGGAGAGGGACCTCAGTTGTCAGGACTGTCTGGAGAATCCGGGGTGGGGGACAAGGGGGTTTGAGGCTGGATAGGGAGGGCAGGGCTAGATTTTGGAGCCTCGAACACCTGGTCTAGGTGATGAAACTTTCGGGGGGGAGGCCCTGGGGAGCTGTAGGAGGCTTTAGGTAGGGGAGAGACATGATCAAGGCTGTGTTTTAGGGCAGTTAATCTGTCAGCTTGTGCAGATGGCCTGAAGAAGTTACGACAGGGGACTGTTACTGCAGCCCGGCAGGTAACTGGAGCAGAGGCTTCTGTCTCCTCCGTAGTGGGTCGGAGGGTTCTTCGGGTATACTGTGGGCAGAGCGAGGCCAAACTCAAGGTGGACGTCCAAGCTCCACCTGTATTAGTTTAATATGCCATGTAACGAGTCGCCACAAATGTAGCAGCTTAAAACAATATCAGTAATGATCTTATCGTTTCTGTAGGTCAGGAGTCTGGGTGTGGCTTAACTGGGTCCTCTGCTCAGGGTCTTGCAAGGCTACAGTCAAAGGGTCCTCCAGGATGAGGTCTCGTTGGAGCCCAGCGTCCTCTTCCAAGCTCATGCAGACTGTAGGCAGAATTTATTTAGTTCCTTGCGGTTGTAAAACTGAGACCCTCAGCTGCCCGGGGCTGCCCCCTCCACGGGCGGTTTACAACACGGCTATTTATTCAAGGCCGGCAGGAAAGCAGCTCTGTGCTTCGAATCACAAGGAGACATGGACCCTCTTTTAAAGGGCTCACCTGCTTAGGCCAGGCCCACCCAAGACCATCTCCCTTTTGATTAAGTCGAAGTCAGTTGATTAGGGAATTTATTGACATCTCTCAATCTCTTCATCTTTACCAGATTCTATTGTTTAGAAGCAAGTCAGAGGTTCTGGCCACACTCAAGGAGACGGGAGTACACAAACGTGTGGCTACCTGGGGTGGGAGTCGCGGGGCCATCTTAGAAACACGCCACCACACCACCCCTCAGGTCTTCCGATTTCCAGCTGCCCACTCCTGACCCCTCATATCTCAAGCTCAATCCATTTCCACCTCTCAGATGTGAACTGAGAGGTAAGAAGCTCTCAAATCCACTCTCTCTCTCGCACTTGCAATACGAAAGGGGGTTATGGACGACCACGAAGCTTCCGGACCAGGACCGATGATGGAATAACAGGCACTGGAGTGGGGAGCTTGGAGTGGGGACTGTCACTTACCTATAGGAAACAAAAAGACATATCCGGCCGTGACTGAGGCACCAAGGGGGACAGAAAAGGGAAGAGAGCACATTTTAAAATCTTCAAAGAGCTCCTTACATAGCTGCGATTATTCCACTGGCCTGCTTCTTTTCGTTTGCTATCAGGTTATTAATCACGCTACAGAAAATACGGAGACAAGTAGATTGTGAGCCGCTGTAAAATTTAAACGATTTACATTTTCGTTCGTCTTCCCCGATCTTTCACATCGCATGTACGAGATGCGTGATAAACGTCTTGGCACACAGTTGCCTCCCCCCCCACACCCCAATTTTGGATTATTTCTCGAAGTGGGGCTTAGAGATGGAGTTACTGGGTGGGAGCATGCACACATTGTCATGGCTGTTGGCACATTTTCCGGAAGGCTTGTGTTGATTTTCCCCGCTGTGACCCCTGCTGGCGGTTGGGGCTTTGCTTGTTTCTTTGTCTTTCACCGGAGGGCTGGGTCAGGAGCCTGCTGGCAGCCATGGGTGGGGAGAGGGTGGGTGTTCTCCCAGCTCTGTGCCTGACAGTGTCCCCACAGCGCCCTCCAGGGGCTGGCGGCCGAGGCGTAGGAACTGGGGGCACCATTTTTGCTTTGTTCCCCAACTGTTCCCCCAAGGAATGTGGGCACCGAAGGGACAAGGGGAAAGCCAGAACCACCCCCACCCCCACCCCAGGACAGGGAGTATTTTGACCTCTTCAGACTCCACCCCCTTCTCTGTTCTCCTCCACCATAAACACCAAAGCGCCCACTGATGGAGGGTAGTAGCTTGTGCCAACAGCCCTGTGAGGAGGCTTCCGTTATTTTCCCGATTTACGGAGGGGGACACTGAGGCCCGGAGAAGTGCTTCGCCCAAGGGAAAACTCTGGACTTTATTTCTCAGGTTGGGGGTTTCACAAGGGCCAGACGGCCTCTCCTTCCATTTCTCTCTCTCTCTCTCAAGTTCAGTTTCTGTATTTCAAACAGAATATAGAAGCAGATATACGCGACGCCCTCTCTCAAACTCACGAACAGGACCAAGGGAGGCAGAGAGGATTCCCAGCCTGGGATGGGGCCTCGGGTACCCTTCTCCTTATGGAAAATTCTATCCCGGGCCGGGCGCCCAGAGAGCTCTCACACAGCCCTGCAATTAGGGTTACGATGCGACTGCAATGTTTGAATATATTTTCTTTTACAGGGAGGGCCGCCGTGCCCCCTCCCTCAGCTCTCCAGAGCAACATGTGCGAACGATTAAGCCGGTTTGTTTTTTCTAGAGTTCTCAGGAGGAAGTGACATTGACATCCTTGCGCCCCATGGCAAGACCAGCGCCTCTGTGGGAACCGGGCCCCCGGCTTTTTCCGAAGCTGGCATTCTTGGGACTTGCCTTCCAAGCCTCAGCCGGCGCCCCGCCCCCGCCCGGTGCGACCCCATCCCTGCCGCAGGCACCCCTAACCTGGCCGTGCTTCACGTCAGCCTCCTTTTGGATTGCACATAGGCCAGATGTGCCTCCATCTGCGCTCTGGACCGCTGGTCGGTGTCCGGGTGGGCCTGTCCACTCGATCGCTCCCAGGGCCGTGTTTTTGGGGAGGAAACCGCTTTTCCTGGCCGCCCAGGAGCACACCACTGTGGGCCCCACGGGCCAGCCCTTCGCTGGTGCAAATCCCCTGGGTAGGGGAGGACCCTGTGAAGGTCTTTGTGAGGGAGGATCCTGCTCAGACCAGGATGGCCCCAGCTCTTGCCTGGGTGGAAGGGCAGGCCAGCGTCTTCCAGAGACTTCTACCAGGCAGGTCTCGTTTCCAGGGTTTCTTCCTCCCGGGCACTTTCATGTGTCTAAGCCAGAACCTGGCCCCCTGGCCTCTGCCTTCTCCCTCAGCCTGTCCTTAGTCACCGACGCCTGCCTCTGTTGTGTCTGGAACACCTCCCAGATCTGCCCATTCTGTCTCCATCTGGTCCAAAGCTGCTGCCTCCCCTCTGCCTGGACCTATGCCTCAGCCTCCACAGGGACCGCTCTACCTCCGCCCACAGGCCAGGGTGCATGTCCCTCTCCCAAGCAAATCCCCTCCCTGCCTCTCCAAAGCCAGGATGCCACCCAAACTGCTAGATGTGGCCACACGAGCCCCACTTGTGCCAGCTCCTGCTTGTCCTCATCTTCGTCCTGCCCCAGGAGATCCAGTCCTGGAACTGTCCCCAAGAGACAGCTTCCGGCTTGCCCCAGGGCCTCCGCACATGCTGTTCCCTTAGCCAGAAACACTGTTCTCCCTCCCATCTTTGTTTGATGAACTGTATCCTTCCAGGACACCTCCTCCAGGAAGCCTGTCTGGATGTCTCAGACCAGGTTGGGGGCCCCCCGCGTTGGGTGTGTTCTCTGCAGCCAGGGAACCTGTGTCAGTTCTCTGCAATCTCCTCTGGGCCCGGGGGTAGGGCCCGGCATACAGCAAGCGTTTCGTAATGTTTGTTCGGTGATAAATGGCAAATGGAGGCCTAGAGAACACTTAACAGAGCAAGGAAACTTCGGGCTGTGTCCCCCACCCCGCATCCAGGGGTAGGCGGCTCCCCTGCTCTGGCCCAGCCCTCGTGGTCAGGTGGGCCTGAGCCAGCTGAACACAGCGGCAGAACGCCACGCCCCCTCCCACGCCTTCTGCTGGAGCCTCCGTCACCCCCATCAGTGCCCCATGCTCTCCTACTGACCAGAGTCCCAACCCTCCAGCCACAAGGAAGTCACACGGCGAGTGTCCTCAGGGGTGTCTGCACATCTGCAGGGGGCCGCGCTCCACCCTCAGGGACCACGTTTTCACGGTGGAATTCCAGGCGGAGTACAAGGAAGAAGATCTAGGGGTGACTTGGGGGAGAATGGGGAAGAGCCCTCACCTCACTCATGGTACAGTCACCATACCTTCTAAACAAAAATGGGGACCATCTCTCATGCAAGGATTGTCATGTGGCCTGTGAGTGGGAACTCTGGCACTTTGAGGGGCACTCCGATGTGGTATGGGGGGGAAGACTGTAGAATATCGACCCCATCAGGGTGTGACTGCTATGTTGCCGTGAGGGGGAGTGCTGTCCTAATCCTGGGGGCTGGCTGAGGCTTTCACTGGAAATGATCTCTTACCTTCCCTGGAGGGTGTACCCCTCAGAAGGGCCAGGTGGAGGGGGCTGGCCTCAAACCACTCCCCTCACCCCACAGTTTTCCACAGACTCCTCACAAATGATGTCATTGCCTGGTGGTACATGAGCCCTCTGTCACCCCCAGTTGCCATCTGCAAAAGAGCGGGTTGGGGGACTTGGGAGAAGGCCTTCTGGTGGCCTTGGCTGTTAGGACCACCTGTGAGCCCACCTGGGACCTCCACTCTGCACCCCCACTTTCTGGGCCATTTGCCCAGGCCCCTCCATAGTATAGTCCAGTGCCCAGAGGGGCCCCTCACTTTCTGCACGCCCAGAAGCAAGGGATTTAATTTCAGCATCTCCTCCAGTCCATGGCCACCCACCCTGCCCCCTGCCAAAAGGCGGACGAGACACTCCCTGACCAGACGGGGGTGGGGGGTCCTGCTCAGAGTCACCTAAACCCCTGGGTTCTGCTGGGCCTGAGGTAGGTCTCCGTCCTTCCATCCGGCTCCCCACCCCTGAGACTCTGGGGGGTGACGGAGTTTGTTCATTCGAAAAAAGACACAGACATGAGGGCAGCTGGCCCTGCGGGCTGCTGGTCCAAGCTGGGCCCAGGGCAGTCCCCGCGGCTGCTGCAGACGAGAGCAGGCCCGGATGGCCAGCCCTTAATGGGTCTGCTGCCTTCTACATTTTTGGGCTTAAAAAATCTTTATTTCTTGAAGACGAAAGCTATTTGGTTTCAATACACAAAGTGAGGTCCTTCCTTGGTGAGCTCCTGCTCCTCCTTCTGGCCCAGCCCCTCCGAGGGTCACGGGCCAGAGTCTCCAGTGGCCGTGGACGAGGGGCTGAGCCCGGCTTCGGGCACCTTAGCAGCCTCTCAGGTCCAGGGGTCCGGGCTGGTGAGAAGGGCCGGGAGAGCCCAACCAGCCTGCCCTGGGGGCAGGGGACAGGAGGTTGCTTTCCTGTGTGTCTGCCCTCTTTTCTGCCGCTGTAGACCAGGGAGGCAGCTGGGTCCTGGTGGGGCTGGCCGTCAGTTCACCGTGGGCACCTGGCTGTGGTGCAGGCTGAACTCCTTGGCCTTGAGACGGAGGCTGGCGATGCTGTTGGCCATATTGACCCCCGGGGTCGCGGGGCTTGAGCCTCCAGGGCTGTAGGGTGGCACCGTGCTGGGGGCAACATAAGACACAGGACGAGTTGGTGTAGCTGGCATGCTACCCAGAGCTGACCAGTTCCGGCTGTCAGTCCTGGATCCCAGCCCCTGGCCCTCCTGCTCCCCTCCTGGGAAGCCTTCCCCTGGAGGTGGGGGTGACCCAGGGCTTCGGGATTTGGGGAGGAGTCAGAATGCCCACAGGTGGCACTGGGACATGGAGCCACCGCCGCGGGTCTGTGGGCATACCTCGCCGGACCAGGAGCTTCCTGAGAGCAGGGCCTGGGCCCTGTTCACCCCCAGCACCTGCACTGGGCCTGGTGTGCAGCAGGATGGAGATGAGCACACACACACCTGGATTTAAGGATGCCCCTTGGTGATTCTCCCGCCTCAGGACGGGGCAGGGAGGGAGCTGAGAGAGCTGAGAGGCTAACGCGGGCATCACAGGCACTCGGATCCCACAAGCTGACCTGCTGGATCTCACCTTCAGCAAGACCAGGGCTCCAGCAGAGCCGCTCGCGTAGACTCAGGGGCGGATGGCGCCCCTTAAGGTGGCGGGGGACAGAAATCCCGCTTCCTAGCACCTCCTCCCTCTTCCAACTCACCCTGCCACCTTGGGGCCTTTTTCCAGCTTTAACTAGGGAAAACTGCCCCAGAACTTGGCTCTGAACCTGAGCCAGGTCCCCGGGACAGGGAGGCTACGCTCTCACCTCGCCCAGCCTCAGTTTCTCACCGGGGGCGCCGACACAGGGTACTGGGGTTCCCCTGCCAGCCTAGAAATCTTCCCGCAGGTTTTCAACGTTCTAGGAGTGACGTGGGCTCTTCACTTCCCCCCCAGACGGGCCTCATGTTCTCCCGCCTTCACACATTCACTCACACATTCATGTGCACACGTCCGCATGTGCACACACACTCCTGCGCACGCGCAGGTACACGCACACACTCACGGTCACGCACTCGCATGGATGTGGAAATGCACACACACTCCTGTGCGACACTCACACATGCTCTCACCACACCCACACATCCACACGTGCACACGCACGAGCACACATGCCCACACCTGCCCAGGCACCGCTTGGGGGACTCCAATATCCAGGGGGCCCTGGGCACCCCTCGAAGCTCTCTATAGATGCTCAAAGGAGTCTGGGCCCTGATACTCCGCACGGGATCCCCTGGCTGCGCCCCCCCCCCCCACCTCAGGAGGTTCCTGCTCTCACCTGTAGGGGGACGAGGTTGTCCAGGAGAGATAGTCGGGGCTCAGGGCGGTGGGCCGGGGAGCCACGGGCTGCTCGATGGCGGCCTCCTGGCTGTAGGACTTGAGCAGCGAGGCGGAGCGGTTGGCCAGCATGGCCCTCTCGTTCCGGCGGAACTTGGCTCGGCGGTTCTGAAACCAGACCTGGGGGTGGGGAGGAGTGGGGAGCAGGGTGCGGCGGGCTGCGCAGGGCACCCAAGATTTTTTGGACCCAGTGTGTGTCCACCAACCCTGGACTGGCAGCTTCACCTCTCTGAGCCTCAGTTTTCTCATCTGTAAAATGAAGGTGATCGATGGTGCCTCGTGCTGGAGAATGGGCACGCGAATGAACGAAGGAACGAATGAGCACTCGCCGTCATGAGGCTGGAGTAGGAGAGATGCGTGCTGGGCACGGAGCTCCCAGCCGGCACAGAGCAGGTACTCAACACTTTAAAACGACTTTTATTTATCGAAACCCTCTGTGCCAGGTACTGCTCTAAGCACTTTACAAATATATTAACTCATTTACTTCTCTGAAGAGCCCTACGAAATAGACCCACGTGATCCTCTTTTGCAGAGAGGCGCCCCTAAGGTACAGAGAGGTTAGACAACTTGCTCCAGGTCACACAGCTAGTAAGTGGCAGGGCTTGGATTGAACCTCGGCCCTTCTGGTCTCAGATGCTTCTGCTCTTAAACTTCCTACCCCTGGGTGCATGGTGGCTGCACGGTCCCCCGGGTGGCCCACGAACGGGCAGCGCTCACCTGGACGCGCGCCTCGCTGAGGTTGACGCGCCGGGCCAGCTCCTCGCGCACGAAGGCGTCGGGGTAGTGCGTCCGCTCGAACACGCGCTCCAGCGCCTGCAGCTGGCTGCTGTTGAACGTGGTGCGGTTCCGCCGCTGCTTCTTCTTCCGCTTGGCGGCGCCGCCGCGCCCGGGGCTGGGACACTCACCTGCGGGAGGAGGAGGAGCCCGAGAGTCAGCAGGGCAGAGGAGGACAGCGCGCGGTGGGTGCCCGCAGCGCCCTCAGCCTGGCCGGACCGCCCCGGGACCCGGAGGCGCCGATTGGTCACCGCTCAGGCCCCCGCTCAGCAGTTCGCACTGAGCTCTTCGGTCTCCCTTTGCAGGGGGATGGTCCAGCCCCAAGAGCAGGAGCACTTCCCCTTAATTCCCTCCTTCCTGCATCCATCCATCCATCCATCCGTCCGTCCGTCCGTCCGTCCGTCCGTCCATCCATCCATCCATCCATCCATCCGTCCATCCATCCATTCTTCAATACATATTTCCTGAGCACCTGCTGCGGCAGACGCGCTGTTAGGGCCGGGGATATAATGGTGAACCCGGCCCTTATCCTGTGGAGCCAGGGGACAGGCGCCACTGCGATGAGGGACAACTGACCTGGTTACGAAGGGCCCAGGAGACACCTGAGTGTCCTCCAAACCTGGCCCAGGCCCTAGGGCATGGTAAACATGCCATCGATATTTGCTGTTGAATTTTAAGAATATGTCACAAAGAGCAGTAAGAGTCACAGTTCCTAGGGTCCGTGGCACGCAGACTGTAGCACCCACATATCACGGGGTGCTCACAGGAATCCGTTATCCTCACCACTCCCAGTTTCCAGAGGGAGCAGGAGGTTTTTTGACTATTTCCACATTTAAATTTTACAGGGGCAGAAATACTGACCCTTCACCCCCTCCAGGGATCAGCTCACTGCCCACTCCTCCAGGGAGCCCTCCCTGACCACGTGAGTCCACATGGCATTCCCTCCTCCCCGCTTCACTCACCCAGCGCTTAGCAACCACACTGCTCAATTCAGCACTTCCTTGAGTATCTGATCCTCTTATTAAAAACGCATATTTTAATAATAAAGTAATATCACTGTCACACCAACAGATTCAAACAACGCAGAAGGGTATAAAGTAAAACCAAAGACTCCCCTCTCCCCAACTCCACTCCCCACACTTTACAAGATTACAAATGCACATTTTAAAAAAATTTATAAGCATGAGATCACGCTGAACACGCTGGTGCTTCGACTGGCCTGTTTTTATTTAATAATATTCCAGATACCATTCCACCGAGCACAGCAGACCTCGCCCTCTCTTTGGATTGTTGTCCATAACTCATTGTTCCCTCTGTCCCTCTCCCTTCATTTGTAAGGACTCAGTTCTTAAATTAGTTTTGGCTCTATCCTTCCAGCGTTGCTTTTTTTTTTTTTTCAAATACAATAAAATACATATAATATTTCCACCCCTCTTCTTTCCAAAGGCTGCAGCCCATGTAATCTTCTGCACCTCCCTCTCCCATTTGATGATATATTCTGGGGCTTCTTCCGTCCAGGGCACGGAAGTCGCTCCTGTTCCTTTTCATGGCCCCGTGGCACGGGGCTGTGTGACGGCGCTGTGGGTCATTCACTGCAGCCCTGGCGATGGGCACTCGGCGCGCTTCAAATCTTTTGCAACCAAAAGGATGCCACGGTGAATAAGCTCGTGCAAATGCGATTTCCTGGTTTTGCCCGTGCATATTTGGGGCAGAGTCCTGGAGAAGTAGGGCTGCTGGGCCAGTGAGTACTATGCTACATGTGGACAAATTCCCCCGGGAGCCTTTCCAACCAGCGGTGTCTGGAAAGACCTGTCTTGCCCAGTTTGGCCAACAGAAGGTGTCTCGACCTTTCGGATTTTAGTCCATACCTTGTGTTTTTGCTACTCTAGTTACACATCCCCTTTGTACATCCTACATTCTTCTCACGGTGCTGGGCGTTTGTTCCGCCGAGCATCTAGAACATTCCAGGCCCTGCAACAAACACCGTCAACCTCTGCTTTCAAACAAGTTCCCAGGTTAGCTGGATTTACTGACTCTTGAGCAACCAACTGATTCGATCTGTGGCTACATTGTTCCACGAGACTGGTAAGTGATTGTAGTGGGGGGAACGGGAGTCGGGGGCAGGGGGCGCTGTCGGGCAGGGATCATAGAGGATGCCTAGGGAAACGTGACCTCCAAAGCTGGGTTTGGACCAGTGTTTCTTAGTCGAGGGCAATTTTGCCTCCAGGGGACAACTGGCCATGTCTGGAGACATTTTTGATGTTCAGGACCAGGATGGAATGGGCAGAGGCCTGGGATGCTACTAAACACTCCTCGCTACATAGGACAGGCTCCCACGTCGAAGAATGATATGGCCCGCAATGCCTGCAGTGCCAAGGTTTAGACGGATCCCAGGAGTTTATGTTCAGTGCTTTGACTTGCAAACACATGGGACACACGAGGGGGTGGGTAGGAAGTGGCAGAGAGCACAGAGTGGCCCCAAGCGAGCCGAGCTCCTCTCCTGGACTGGCTGGGTCTTCACTCTTCACCCCTTTCCTCCAAGAGAAGGTGAAGATGGATAAGAATGTCTGGTGCCTGTGAATGTCTCTCCACCCCTACCCCCTACCCCCGACCCCCGAACGGGAAGAAACCTTAAACCAAAACAACAAGGGCCCTTGTGCTGAAAACCGGGTGGTGATCAATAGCCCGGGCGGGACAGAAGCTTCTGGAACACCCGCCATTGCAAAGCTGATGTCCGCCCCACTTTAGGCAACGCTGCTTGGGCACACACCCAACGCGGGAGGCATTTCAGCCAAAAAAGGAGACTTTTGGGGGAAGTTTCCGAGCAATTCGAAACGGAGGGTGTTTAAATGAAAACCATTTTTGCAGCGCTCACCCCGCCAAGTGGGCACCGGAAGAAACGACCCCACTCTTTCTCCAAACTGCAGGTGACTTGGAGCCGAAAAAAAAAAAAAACAAAAAAACGCTCACACAAAGGCATGTACTGCCACTGCCAGGCCCAGACCCTCCTCGCCCGCCCCCCTCCCCGCACCAGCTGGTCTCCACCCCCGGGGCATGGGGCATGGGATGGGATGCGCTCAGCAAAAGTCGCTTTGGGCAGGAGTGGCTCCCAGCGCTCCACGTGCTTCCATCCGCTAAGTCCTCGCACCTGCCCGTTTCACACACGGGGAAACTGAGGCTCTGAGTGACATGCCCACGGCCATGGATCTGAGCTTGGAATCCACGTCCGGGGCAAGGCTCGGCCAGCCAAGCCTGTGAGCCTGTCTCGGAGGAGAGCTCCTCCCTCGACCACTTAGCTCACCTAGGGAAGGTGTCTCGCTTTCAGTCCCAGCTCTGGGAGACGTCTTCAGGTTCGTGGCGTCTCGCTGGTGCGTAAATGCCCCCAAGTTCCCATCCTAGCCCGTGAGAAGGGAGCCCTGGGTACCTCTTTGTTCTAGAGGAAGACCTCACCTCTGGAGGCTGGGAGGGCAGGGGCTTGCCCAAGGTCACACGAAGGCCCCGTGAGAAGCTGAGTGGTGTCCAGTGCCAAATGCATAGTTATTGCTCCATAAATGCTCGCTGCCCTTAGCATTGTGGCTTGCGTGCGTGCCGCTTGGTGCCGAGGTTGAGGACGATTCAGGCAGCGTCTCCCCGAGGTGACCCAGGACTGGAACCCACAGCTTTGGACTCCGCCAGTGCTCCAGGGCCAGCCTCTGCTTCCCAGCGGATGTGCCTGATACTCATTACCGTAACTTCCTGAATCACCTCCCGAGAAATGCAGTGTGGTGGGCGTGTGTCCCTCTGGGGAAGCGTTTGAAAAACACTCTAAGCCTCAGGCCAGCTAGTGCTGGGGCCTGCTGGTTCGCGTTGGGCTGTGCCAAAGTTTCCTCTTTGTCAATAAAAGTTCTGCTTTTCTCTGGGTTTAAAAATAAAGCCTGAAACCACACCTCCGTTTACACTGGCTGTTTAGATGCTATTGTGAGGGGCCGGATTAGGGAAGAGATAAACGTATTCAGATGGGGCAGGCCCGCCACACTCTCTCTCCCTTAAAACCAAAATTACTTCGTCCCCGATTATGTTACAATGGAAAAAAAATGACTGATGCACAGTTTTCTGCCATTAAATTATTTCACACATACCATTTATTTGGCTGACTGCGGGCCAAAGACATTTAAAAACTGTGCTCTCAGCCAAATGATCAAGTGTTCCTGGCTCCTTTCCCCTGCACCCATGGTTTTTCTTATTCCGTGTAATTTAAGGGCCTAAATAGTCTGGAGGGAATTAACTGCAAATTCTTCCCAAGACAAATAAACCTGGCCTCTTCGTTTCTGCCTTTCTCAAGCTGTCGGGAGACACTCTCTGTTTGTTTTCCCTTCGAATAGTCGGTTTGCTCCTGACCCTAGGGCCGCAGAGAGCTCCAACCCAAATAAATAACTTTTATTAATTAGCATTTATTCTGACCAAATAAGCTGCCTTCCCCTCCCCCCAACGTGATTTCTGCCAACACGTTCGCAAAAATAAACAACGGTCCCCAGGACCTTGATGTGGATTTAACAAATTAACACTGGTCCTTGGTCAAAGGAGCTTCGGAGCTGCAGAAATATTTATAGCTGGGAAAGTCTTAGGAAGGAAGTGGAGGTGGGGGGCGCGGAGAGACCAGCAAAGACTTCAGGGCGCCCCCCGACACACACACACACCCAGGTCTTTTGGGAAAGATTTGGGTTCCTTTGACGGACCCCTGGGAGAAGGGCTCAGACAGGAATTCTGGAAACTGCATCCTCAGCCTCCTCAGCCGCTGCCAGGGGCTTAGGGTCCAGGAAACAAGCAAGAGGAAGGATGCTAAAGGCAACAAGGCATTTCCGGGGCTGGGGTGTGAGGTGCAGTTCCTGGGCATGCAGGCCGGGCGGAGGGAGGGCTTCCAGGAGGAGGAGGCCCAGGCTGTGAGACCTGTGAGAGCTGGGCCGGGGTCCGGCCTGGCACTGAGTTGGGTCAACAATATTGGAAGGAAGAAAGGAAGGAGAAGAGGTACGGTCCCTGGGGCCCTGTGGGGCAGGGAGCCTGGGCTTCCGGGGGCTTCCTCAGGAGGCCAGCCCCAACCCAGCCAGAATCCCACGCAAGGGGCTTAAGAGCTGGTTTCATCTCTGGCCAAACTGGCCTCAGTCCCGGACACTCAGGGACTAGGGACAAGGCATGAAGGAGGGGTTTTGGCTCCTCTGGTGGGATGGCACAGGCAGACTTCCCAGCATCATGTCCCAAGAGGCCCCCAACAGCCTCGAGAAGGGCAGGCAGGGTTGTCTCTGCCTTACAGAGAAGGCTGAGGGAGGCCCGGAGAGGGGCCAGGACCTACCCAGGGTGACACAGTGACTAAGAGGCCACCCACTGCAAACCTCGGGCTCTTTCTTTTCTCGCCACACCCCTGCCAGGGACAACGGAGGGAGGAGTTAGCCCCAGCCCTGGGAAAATTGTCCGTGAACACGACAGAAAGATGGAGCCCTTTTCCTGAAGGCCTTTCTCGTTCTAGCCACTGAATGAAGCCACACGGGCCACCCCAGTGGGCAGAGCCAGGACAGGGGTCCTTGGACAGTCTCACGGCTGCCGTCAGGGTTCACGGCCTCCCCGAGGTCAGTGTTTTGAGTATTAAATGAATAAATGAATGAACAAATGAACGAACAAGGAGGCACTGGAAGGGTATGGGGAAATTTTGGAGCCTGCCCTCTGTCCTGGGCTGTCCGCAGGGTCCAGGGGCCTCCTTACAGAGCCATAAAGGCCTGGCCGGTGCTGAGTCACGTGAGGTCATGTCCACAGGGAGGAGGAAGGGGCTTGGGGCAAGAGGGTGGGAGGGTCAGCCACTGTCAGCCACTGCCCCCCACCCTTCCAAGGATGTTTCACCTCATTAACTGTGAACAAAAACCCAAGACGCTGACACGTTTTTATAGCTATCAGTCTGGAGAAGGACAAAACATCTCAGAAACGAAGATGAGCGGGGAAGAGGCAGTGCAGCCCCATTCATGCCCCCACGGCCTCACGGGCCTCAGTGCAGCGTGTAAGAAGCCGAGCTCATGGGCTACTCCAGCCCGGGACTGCTGCGCCCCCACCCCCCAGTCCCAAGGCCAGTGACTAATGCGGCTACAAGGAAGTCTCAGCGGGCTTGAGCTGACGCTGGAGCCCGGAAGAGGCCGGGGAAGGCTCCTGCATGGCTCCTAAAAACGTGGGTAGAACCTTGGAGGCGGCTGCAATGCATCTGGGTCTCTTTGGGGTCTGGAGCCTCTCCCTGACATGTACAAAGGACCTGGTGTGCTGCCCACACTTCTGTGGGGCCACTGGAGTCCCCAAGAACCCCCAGTAGAGGGGCCAGTGCGCCAAGAGGAGGATCTGCCTTGTCAGACAGCATGAGCTCCGACCCACCTCAGGGCCTTTACACATGCTGTTCCCTCTGCCTGGAGCACTGCACCCTTTTTGCCTGGCAAGTGCTTATCCAGCATTTAGTCGGAGCCTACATTTTCTACCCTGAGAGGCTTTCCCGGGCCCCAGATCAGAATAGGTCTCCCTGCTATAGGCTCCTGGGCCCTGTCCCTCTCCCACACATCTGTAATTGAGTCATTCTTCCGTTTTCGTTATCTGCTTCATGCCTATCTCTTCGGTTTGAGTCTAAACTCTAGGAAGGTAGAGACTAAGTTTGCCTCGTCACTGCTGTATCCCCACGACCGAGCAAGAAGTTTAGTTTTAAAAATATTTCTGAATGAAGGATTATATAAGTGAAGGAAGACGCATTTCAGAAAAAGATGGGAGGTCTCAACCTCCAAAGCCATTTTTCTTTACCCTCAAGAAGGCCAGACGATGGTTTCTTAGAGGTAACACCAAAAGTACAAAAAGACAAATCAGACATCATCAAAATTAAAAACTTTGTGAACACCATTAAAAGTGAAAAGATAACCCACAGAATGAGAACAATATTCACAAACGTATATTTGATAAGATACTTGTATGTAAAAAAATACAACGAACTCTTCCAAGTCCACGATAAAAAGTCAAATAATGCAATTTAAAAAGGTGAGCAAAGCATCCGAATAGACATTTCTCCAAAGAAAATATACAAAGGACCAATAAGCACGGGAAAAGATGTGTGACGTCATAAGCCATGAGGGAAATGCAAATCGAAACAACAGAGCGACACAGCTTCATACCCACTAGGATGGTTAGCATCAAAACCCAGATAATAACAAGTGTTGGAGAAATGGAGACCCTCATGCCCTGCTGGCGGCATGTGAAACGGTGCAGCCGCCTTGGAAAACAGCCTGCAGTTCCTTCGAAGGCTAAGTACAGAGTTATCATATGACCCAGCAATTCCGCTCCTAGATATCTACCTAAGAGAAATAAAAACATGCGTCCGCACAAAAACTCGTACCCGAATGTTCACAGCAGCGTTATGCATTATAGCCAAGAAGTGGAAACAATACAAATGCCCGTCACTTGATGCATAGATCGACAAAATGTGGTCCATCCACACTATGGAATATTATTCGCCTATACAAAGGAATGAAATACTGATCCACGCGGAGACGTAGATGAACCTCGAAGACACGCCGAGTGAAAGAAGTCAGTGCCATGCACAAAAGGCCACACAATGTGTGATTCCACTTATACAAAGTGTCTGCGAGAGGCAAATCTATAGAAACAGAAAGTTGATTAGTAGTTGCCAGGGGCGGGAGCGAATGGAGGGGGTGACGAAAGGGGGTGGGGCTTCTTTTAGGGGTGATGCAAATGTTCTAACATTAATTGGGGTGATGGTCGTACACCTGAATATCCTTAAAAATCACTGGATTGTACAGTTTAAATGGGTGAATGGTACGGTATGTGAAGTATCGCTCAATAAAGTCGTTATAAAAAAAAACACACACACAGAAAAGGGGGAGAAGGCAGACAGAGACACTGGGATTGGCAGGGAATGGCAAGGAAGGTGATCTCCTGAGTGCCGGAAGTGGGCACCGGGAGGGGAGTGACAGACAGTGGGAGACACGTCGTTGACACACACGGTGGCTCAGCACGGCTGGGGAGCCCCAAGCCCGCTCTGGGTGGGGGTCTTTGGGGAAAACCCTCAGCAGGAGGGCAGCCAGGAGGTGGAGTGGCAGCTCCACTCAGGGAAGCCACGGGGCAGGGATGGGTGAGGCTAAAACCTCTGAGGTCCAGAAGCCTTTGCGAATTGGGATTATCAGGCCCAAGTAGGAGTAGGGACGAAGCTACTGAGCAGAGGATATTTGTGTCCTAGTCTCAGGCACAGAAAGGGGGCCAGGAGGTCAAAGGGCAGATACAGCGGACCATCTCAAAGGCTCGGGGGTCCTTCAAACCTCCCAGGCTTCCCTTGACCACTTTCAGGGGTTCAAACTTCTAGGCTCCTCTGGTCACGTCTATGGTCAGCCCAGTCTTCTCCACTCCTGAGACCCCAAAACCAAGCTCCAGAGAGTGGGAGCACCTGGCAGAAGTGGGGGTGCAGGATGGGTGGGGGTCGAGAGTCGTTTAGGAGGAAGACAGCCGCCCTCTGCTCAAAATTTGGTCTGA